GATATTATGTATTATTATCATAATTATTTACGGTACAATAATCTCAAACTGATAATTTTGTATCAAATATTATTTCACATTTTTCATCCCTGTCAATTAAGAAAAAAGAAAAAAAGACTATTTTTTTACATTTGAGTAAGTTGTAATTTAAATTAAATAAGCAGCCTTTCAGCTGAGATAGCTCCGCTGTTAGCAATGCACATTTCAATTAAAGAACAGAAGATATCATGAGAAAATGAACAATATGTAACCTTGCTGTTTTCAACAAGAATTCAAAAATATCACTTTCACCAAAAAATGACAAAAATATTCACTAAAATTAGTGAATTAAAGATATCATCACGAAATGAACAAATCTGAGAGAGGTCCACATGTAGTACCTATATATGTGATATCAAAGCAATCAGACTTGAGGTTTTTAACAAGAAGTCGAAAATATCACTTTTTACCAAAAATGGCAAAAATATTCATCAAAATTAGAGAATTGAAGATATCATCATGAAATGAACAAATCTGAGAGAGGTCCACATGTAGTACCTATATATGTGATATCAAAGCAATCAGACTTGTGGTTTTTAACAAGAAGTTGAATACATCACTTTTTACCAAAAATGACAAAAATATTCACCAAAAATAGAGAATTTGAGATTTTGACATGAAATGAACGAATCTGAGAAAGAACCATCCAAGGTACTTGCATATCAAATTTGAAAACATTCTGACTTGCGGTTTCGAAGAAGAAGTTGAAATTGGAAAGTTGACGACGACGGACGCCGAACGATGACAGACAATCAGTAATATGAACAGCTCCGCTGTGTCGACTTTGTCTTCATGATGACTAGAATATATTCTTTGTCATAAACTCACCATAGTCCTTGTATTCTGCATTTAATGACTGGACACCTTCTGTTAATGCCTGAGATAGGCCTGGACTACTTGGCCTAGAAAACAAACAAACTGGGTCATAGTACAGAAAAATATTTTTGATTCAAATCTTGAAATAAAGCAAATTATGGCCGATGTTGAAAAAAGGGTGCATGAAAAGCAGTTTCCGTTGCAATATTAAATTTTTTTGAATTAGCATGCAACCATTAGAATTTGCATAAATAGATTGTATATATTTCGCTGTAATATTGAAGAGATTACAAACAAATAGAAAGAAAGAATATGAAAACTATTGGAGAATGTGCAAACCAACAAACTTCTTTAATTATTCATAACATCAAGTATGAAAGTGAAGTCTTTGGACAACAAATAAGCAAGGTTCGAAATATTCAGAGGAATTTACTGAATCTTCCATTTCAGGAAAAGCTCAAAAAATCTTAAGTAGCTAGCTGAGTTAATTGATTCTGAGATTGAGAAAATTTAATTTTTACTCAAAAAATAATCTCAACCCCTTAAACACTGATAAAAATACGAGATACGATTACCTGGTGTCTCTTGCAATTATAACGTGAGCAGTTTGCGAAACATCAATCATTTCACATTCAACTATTTTCTGCAAGGCTCCAACGATGTCCCCGTCTCTGAAATTGAGACCGATATTCGTTAGCATACATGTCTTTTGTGATACTGTCTTATATTTATAACAATCATAAATTGAATAAACATAATATAATAAATATACTCAAAATATAATACCAATAACTATAATCAATCAATGATTTGTAAGAGCATGCCAGGATTTGTGATATGGGATAAAGATTTTACAAGAAGCAAACTCTTGCAATTTTAAAACGCTTGAAACCGATCGCAATTTGTGTGCAAGTCAATCAAAAGCATTCCCAACCAATAGTGTCACAGAATACAATGGGTGTTTTGAAATTTCAATTATGTACGTAAATGAGCGAGACTATCGCCGCATTCGAAAACGCAAAATACACTTACATGTGCATGTATTACATGATTTGCTAATACCCCCGGTAAGCCCTGCGTGTCCAATCAAAGAAAGCTTAGAAAGAACTCCCATGTGCTGAGAGTATTGGAGACGTATTAAAAATTAACAAGCCATGCATGACACAGTTCCCCTGAGAGTTACCAAATTTAGGATATATAGTTTTGTTTATAGTGATATTATTATAGCATTATTCAAAACAAAATGGTCACCGGTCGGCCATTTTGAATCAGATTGTCAAACCAATACATCTGTATACATGTATCTATAAAATGAGGTATGAGGAATATATATATTTGAACATAATCAGTCAAAGCATGTCAGAGATATCGCACTAGAACCGCATTCATTGAAGCAGCCTCTTGGCTAAGGTAGCTCCACTGATAGCAATGCACCTTTCAATTAAAGAATTAAAGATATCATCACAAAATGAACAAATCTGAAAGAGGTCCACCTGAGATATCTATATGTATAATAACAAAGCAATCAGACTTGCCATTTTTAAAAATGACAAAATATTCACTGAAATTAGAAAATAGGAGATATCATCACTAAATGGTCAAATCTGAGTAAGGTCTACCAAAAGTAGTTTTCAAGAAAAAGTTGAAAAAGTAACTTAATGGTCGAAATAGCTCTGCTGTCTTACAAGAACTTTGTGGTACCCATTTTTGCACCGTAAATTCAGACCGTATGTAAACCGTTTTGTAATAAAATGTGTGTATTTTTATGAACATGTTTGTTTCTTCATTGCAAAAATGTTGTGGAAATCAATGACAACTTGTTTTGCATTTTTTTTTTTCTTCAAAAGGTCGTAATATTTTCCTGAGCCCGGCTTAGTGGACGAAATATGTAATTGGGATAGTTTTTCATGGATGGTGAAATAGTTACAATTTTAAACTAAAAAAAAATCATCTTTTTTAGATGGTCCTTGATTATAAGCGCTCCCCCTATTTTTCACCGATTTTACATGTTCAGCCACCTGGGCTTATGATCGGGGAAGTACGGTATAGTAAGATAAATACTGTAAATTACTCATACAACACAAACATTCAAATATGATTTGTAGACGCTCAATCTTGTACAGAGATACAAAGAAAAATGCTGCTCATTTATTAGATCAACTTTTTCTTGCTTGGCCATACATAGTGATAGTGCCCTCTAGAGTTAGGAAATTGAAATTCTTTCAGTGAAATTTTTCACAAAGATTACTGTCTTTTTTATTTCAAAATGTGGGCAGTTTAATCTTAATTCTTAATAAAACTATTTATTACATATTTTCTTGTGATATTAATGGTATACGAACTGTATTTGCTCTATCAGAAGTGCATGTGATTATGCAAGTTCAATATGGCAGTATGTTTTGATAATTTCGTAAGTTTGGTCTTCAAAAAACAAAAACAAAAGTGTTTTGGTCTTGTATTCGCTTCTAATGGAGATGGGCTTCTAATCAGGCAAATAGGATATTAATTTGCAAGCGTGTTCAATCACAAGCTAACTTAGCCTAGCCTCAAACAGATTTTCTGTTCATTCTGAGATCTCACGCAATGCTTAAAAAGACGCAAATCAAATGTTTGCTACAAAAAACAAGTGATTTGAATTTGGAATTCACTTTTTTTATGGTTCAATGTTGAAATGATGATCTTTAAAAAAGGGTTGTATTGTGTCATCAAAATTGAGTATTAAGTGTAGAAACACACAAAAAATAGTTTCTCGCGATTTCTTGACACCACTACGATGCAATAACTTTTGTTTTTCCTGGTTTAACGTTAATTATCCATGCTCGTTAATTGCCTAACACCAGATCTTGCTGTGAATAGAAAATGGTCTATTGCCATTTTAGCCATTCCTCAGACAATTAAAATGAATCAACTGTGGTGTGCTATATAAGCATGGTTCATCACCATCCCATATTGTAACACGATATACAGAGGAAACTTATGTAAACGTTCAAGTCTAGGTTTAAAGAATTAGAAATGATGTGTACATTTCATAAAGACATACTTTAACTGATGCCTGCCACTATAAATAATATTACAAGAGACCTAACGTCAAATTGCTTAGCTTCTTCAAAACAAGGCTGATGAAGTTTGTATGGTGAGAAATTTGCTAATTGCCAGAAAATATTTTCACACAAATATGCATTCAAAATGACTTACTTTTCATTGGCCAATAATGTAGCATGTTTCTCCCATGATGCTACTAACATTTCACCCATTGGCTCGATCAATTTGACTCCATTATCGCACTCAGGATTGTGGGAGGCTGTTATCATCACACCAACGGCAGCTACAAGTGAACCAGACAGATTGTCATTCAGATATAAATTGAAACAAGACAGTATGTAGTCCCTGTCATTTAATTATAAAATACTCATGTCAAAATAATACATGGAATATCTGCAAACAAATGAATTAATATGTACTCTATGTGGGTACAACTCATCATAAAGTAATTTCCCTTAATCCAGTATTGTACTGATAACTGATAACTTCCATTGACCCATGTCCGAAATCTCAAGAGTGCACAAGTGCAACAATGTGTCATACATGCTCAAGAAACTGCATTCATAAATCTGAGTAAACCTTGATGTACCTTTAATAACAACTTTACTTCTTTGTTAATGCAGGTTTTTGTATACTACCAGGACCTGGATTTGTTTCAGTATCACTACTATAATTCCAATCAAAATGTAGCTCTGACCCCTCTCTACAGTTACCACTGAGATTCGTAATGGTATGACCCATTTATCCACCAGCTGACAACTGAAGCTACATGTAGGCCTCATGTGTCAATGTGCCTGGCCAAGATTTATAAACAGTAACTGTAAAATGTTTTCACTAATCTTCAACTTTGTGACCCGGTATTTATAATGGAATGCAATTTTTACAGTTTAAAGATTTAATATACAACAACATTTTTGACCACTTTTTTTTCAAAATTTCCGCGTTAATTTATCATAAAAACCAAACAAAAACCAGACTGTGGTCTATTTCTGTCACTGATTCAGATCAAGGTCATGACATCACTAAAAACCCCAGCATTACGATCTAATCTAATTATTTATTCTGAGCATGCTCAGTTGTTCTGTCAGTGTTGTTAGGAGAGGTAATTTTGAATGAAAATCGTTTTAAAAGACCCACTTAGGATTTTCAGATCTGAAAAAAAAATTAACAGAGACTTGTTTATCAACCTGCCAAGTTTCATAGATATCTGCTGCAGAATTTCTTAGAAAATCTTGGAGATGTAAAGGAAAGTGGATGGACGGAAAACAGAAATTAGAAACTACATGTATAGTCCGTCTTCAGGCTGCGTCTGAACAAGAACGAATTATAAAATATTTGCCCCAGTTGAAGTACAAACTTCAATATAGTCACACGGAACACACGCTGGGCTATTATTGTCAATTTTTATTACCATGCTGGTCAAATATACAATACTAATTCCCAACTTCCATGAATCTGCGATGGCATTCTGGTTGTATTTGCGACTTTGTTAGTAAGGTCACTCAGCAAGTTGGTGAGGTCACAGTACAAGTTGGTGAGGTCACGGAGAAAGTGTGTGAGGTCACTGAACAAGTTGGTGAGGTCACTAAGCAAGTTGGAGAGATCACTGACCAAGTTGGTGAGGTCACAGAAAAAGTTGGTGAGGTCACAGAGAAAGTTGGTGAGGTCACAGAGCAAGTTGGTGAAGCCACAGTACAAGTTGGTGAGGTCACAGAGAAAGTGTGTGAGGTCACTGAACAAGTTGGTGAGGTCACAGAGAAAGTGTGTGAGGTCACTGAACAAGTTGGTGAGGTCACTAAACAGATTGGTAATGTTACAGGGCAAGTTGGTGAGGTCACTCAGCAAGTTGGAGAGATCACTGAGCAAGTTGGTGAGGTCACAGAAAAGGTTGGTGAGGTCACAGAGAAAGTTGGTGAGGTCACAGAGCAAGTTGGTGAAGCCACAGTCAAAGTTTGTGAGGTCACTGAGCAAGTTGGTGAGGTCACTGAGCAAATTGGCAAGATCACTGAGAAAATTGGTGAGGTCATTGAGCAAGTTGCTGAGGTCACTGAGCATATTGGTGAGGTCACTGAGCATATTGGTGAGGTCACAGAGCAAGTTAGTTAGGAAAATAAACAACTTGGTGAGGTCATTGAACATAGTTGTGTGCAAATGTAACATACTGTGCCTGGAAAGACACTAAAATAAACTTATATGCATAGAAACATGTTTTGTTTATGTTTACATTTTGTCATGAACAAACCTTTAGTAGCTTTGGATCTCAGCACAGCCAATAAACCCATACGATACAATACAGAATCTAATGTATCAGCCCTGCAACCAAATCAATGTTGGAATTATCAGGTGACAATCATGAATAGATATATCTTAATCATCCCTGTAATCATATGAAGATGTATTATGATTGGAGATTCTGGTCAACAAGTTAAATTCTCTTTTTTCTGGACTGGACTGGTACATGTATGTTCAAATAGCACAAAACGTTCTGTTCAAAAAAATGTGTTTTCCTATAATTTGTCATTTTGTTTGCTGTGTTTCATCAGAAATTCAACAATTTGGCACTTAAATCAACTACTCCTATTACTATCAATACAACAAACCATTGATCATTTAGTTTCAACTTTCTGAGGGCAGTCATACATGCACACATAAAATAATAACAATTTAAAAGCTTTTACACTGTTGTCTAAAATAGCATGATTGACATCAGTTTTTGGACATTACAGTGACTATTACAGTTTTGCAACATATTGCAAATTTTGTACTGCATCACGTTTTGTATGGATACCAAGGCAACAAATTTAACACATATATGTATGAAAGACATTGATTATGTTCACAAACTTGAAAGCTCACTTTCAATTTTTATTTATGGTATGCGTGATTTGTAGGCTCTGTAAAAAAAAGCCATATTTTACAAGTGTTTACATCGCCATCTACGTCGAGTATATTCTAATGGTAGTTTGGTACCTACATTTATATTGGTCTAAGATTTGCAGGTTATAGCGCCCTCACTTAGTTGGGTTATGGTGTTAGAGGTGTAATTGTTGGAATAAATTTCCTCATTGTTCTTTTTAATATATTCATTCATTACCTAACCCAATGAGAACATGGCTGAAATCGCTTGATTCAGGGGGACGGTTAAAACAGCACACCATTTGATTGGAAATTCCTGATTTTAATATCTTCAGCTATGCGATGATTCGACAAGTCACTGATCGTTTTATTTGTACCTTACCTTGCTCTGAAACCGGCAGTGCCGTATGTAAATTGTCTGCCATCTGTGCGTGTGTGCTGTGATGCGCCTCGTAGGGCTGCACTCCACCACTCGTTATTCGCCATAGTTCGTTTTCAGTTTGCCACATTGCCGACACTTGACCATTTAAGTCTTTGATAATAAATCAACCATGAACTCCATCGGCGTTTTGTGAGTGCATTGCAACGATATTACTAAAGTTTACGCAAATAAAAGTGTTGTTTATATTTAATTTTAATAATAAAACGACATGTTTGATGTTTTTTATTAATATGTTTACGATACCGAAGAATATATGTATATATAAAAAGGCAGCCAAAGTATTATCGTTCTCGTGTCAGCTGATCGAAAGAAAAAAGACACAGCTAAGCGGTATAGAATTAGCACATGCGCATTTCATTTTTTCGGTTGATATGGAAGAAAGAAATACGAGGAATACCGTTTAGTTGTTCACACAAAAAATGACAAGTCTCGTTGAAGCCCTTTCCTCTGGATGACGTAGAAATGACGTGGATTTGACATATGTGGGATCTCGTGGTGTGTGGTGTTAGGTTAGACTACAAACAACCACAGATAGGTTGGTGACATGCAATGCGGCCTTTCCGTGTTTTCAAGTTGTTGGTGTTTCTTATGTTACTGGTGACGTTTTCGCTATATATCTTAGTGTCCAATGAGGAAGCGAACCACCAATCTCGGAGACCCCAGGGCCATGATGTGTACGACGTAGCTGTAGTTGATCCTCCTGCGCCGCATCCAATACGAAACGTGGTTAGAAGTCGTGAAAACGAGCCCATTCACTTCGCTCAAGGAAAACCGCTGTCAAGTTCAAGGACTGTTGATCCCCGCGGTCAAAATGATACGAAGAATATTTCTTCTCCCAACAACACATTCAATAAAGTCCGAGATGGAAATGAAATTTTTGAGAAATCATCTCAACCTAAAATCAACTTCAAAAGCATTGATGACATGAAGGCTGCAATGTTAGAGACAAATCACCGGCAACACATACGAAATTTGGACAAGTTTCCAACACGACCTTCTGACGGTGTCGTGATTGTCGTACAGGCTCACCAAAGACACGAATATCTTCAGTACTTAGTGAACTCGATGAGAACAGTGCCTGAAATTAACGAAGTGTTGCTGGTAATTAGTCTTGACTGGTACAGTGACGAAATGAATGCTATAGTGGACAATATTGATTTCTGTCAGGTAAGCCAATTTTGAAATACATTTTTGACTTGAAAATAAATGTTATAATGCAGTTTTGATGGAGAAAAGATCATCCTGTCTACATCTTTTGGTGTGAAATTTTAAAACGCAAACATGTTTTTATTTATTTGTTAGTTTGTTTGTCTATTTATTTATTTCTTTATTTACTTACTCTTGCTTATGATAAACATTTTTCTGTAATGTTGTAAAATGGGTCTTGTTGATGGATATTATTTTAGTTTGTGATTGTCTTTTGGGATTTTGGTCAGATTTTCAGCACAAACAATTTCCAATCAGTATTTTAGGGTGTTTAGTTTGAAAGGATGAAATTTTGTGAAACTTTTTTTACTCACAAAATTACATGATTTCTCTTGAATTAAGAAATTTGATAAAATTGTCTTTCGCCAAATTGAAGACATTTTCATAGATTCTTGAGCCAAAAGTTGACAGCGAAGTTATGAAAGTAGTTTTAATTGGTTTACCGTAATCTTTACTGATATGACCATTCATTAAATTGAAATTTATTAGTACTTTGCATTGTTGATCTGTGCAACAGTGTGTCTGTGTTGCAGTGTGTTCTTTCTACTTTCACATTTAGCGTAAAATCTGTATTAGAAGCCGCATCCCTAATAGAAGTCACATCCATTCTTTTTGAATAATTTAGAACCAAATATTCACCATTTCTCATATGTGTAGATGCTCTAATAGAAGCCGCATTTCCTCTATTGCATTGTACCATTTTAATAGAAGCCGTGGTTTCTAATACAGATTTTACAGTACACATGACCTTAAACATAAAAACTATAACAAGTCTAATCCAACTAATGAGAATTTCCATCGTTTCGATATAGCATACGTATCGATGAATACCACTTTTTATATTAGAAATGGATTTATTATACTGGATCATTAAATTTTTTATTATTTTGACCATAAACAGACATGTTCTTGTCCTCAGTAAAAATCACAATACCCTTGTGGCAACAAGTGGCGAATTACTGCTACATAACTTTCCGTCATTCCAGATTTGATCTGCTTAATAAAATATATATATATATATATATATATATATACACACATATCTAATAGAGCAGTTTTAAATATTCATATTTGCTTGTAACTATTAACTATGAAAAGATGTATGGCACAGTTTTCTGTTCTCATTGAATTTAAAATACCTTTGAGTTATTTTTGAGCAATAGGAAATCTACTTTACTTTAATTTAAAATTAAAATTTACTTTAATTAAAATTCATTGTCATTCAGTGTTTTCCCAACACGTGTGCCAGAGATACATCAATGCTGCCTGTAAATCATTCGTTTCCTCCACTCTGGTGAGGGACTATGGTGTTTAGAGTAGGAATAGTGAACTACTACTGAACTATGAAATTTACGATGCTGTGACCCACTGCAAACTGAACCGCTACCATCGTGATCCGTTTGAGGCATGCATCCAGTATAATTGAAGCTATTCTAAATCTGTATTCAATGCAACATACAATGATGCTGTTGTAGTTGCTGGTAGTGATTTGTAGCATTCACAACTGAGGCTTCAATTGCCTCCATGCCCTGGAGTATTCCTAAACTCTTCAAACACATTTTGCTATAAAAATGGGAGCCATCTCAACTTCGAAGTTCAAGCCCTCTGCCACATTCAACTGTGCGTATGTTTTCTGCAGAATTTCCTCCAGTAAATGAGTTTGTAATTTTTTAACAACTGATGACGATGAGAGTTGACATGCTTTACAAAAATTGTTGCTTTCAATACATCATTATCATCATAATCTTCATCAGCCATGTAAATCACTATATGACAATTGTCCTCTGCATGTATGCTGAATGCATGCATGTGATTCATACTTGTACATGTGGATTAGCAGACACGGAGAGAGATTACAATATTAACAAAGAGTTTTAGCTTTACATGTATAGTTCATCAGATGTGCTTGTGAAAGAGAAAATATGGTGCATGTAGACATTATTATGCAATAGATTAGATTACTGTCTTCAATGACATTTATAATTGGTATTCAACCTCTCAGTGTGGAGTCTACTCTTGTATGCTCCATACAGTATTTCTACAAACTGGCTTTCTTTTATTTCTGTTATTATAAGATGTGCTGAAAAGAATCTGAGAAAAAAAAAATTTTAGAATTGTTTAGGCACGCTTTTTTTTCATTCTATTCCACTCAATACTTAGAACATACAAAGACGTTCACAGAGGGATGACTATTGAACTGAGCAGTTTTTCAGACACAGTGAAACTAATTGTTATGCGCTAAACATTGTACTAATGTTTACCTCTCTATGTATGTGTACTGGAGCTAGGAATTCTATCCTATACTACGTACAGTTGATTAAAAGAAATTCAACCTAATGAGGTGTGGCAAATCTATTCTGGACATCATATTGCAAATGTTATATTGCAGATATTTTGGGTGTATAAAATTTGAACATAACCATAGGCTGTAAAGAGTCTGGTGTAAATTTCACTAAGTTAGTCAAATACTAGTACCAGTACACGTCATTTCCTCTTATTTTCAAATCATATAATGAAGTCATATAGAAATAATTGCTACGTTCACACGACAGCATTTTATTGGAGCCCTAATCTTTATCATAATTATTCTGTGTGGTTGTTCCTGTTATACGATTTTGTGATAAAATTACACAAATATATAATTTACTATATTCACTGTGTAACTAGCATTACATGTAAAATATTAAACAGCAGTATCCAGTCAACATTCATGAAGTTTCAAATTATTTTATTATTACTCTGCACAAAAACTGATTACCAATATTCCCAGCCATTAAGACTTTCCACTATACCTAGCCCATATGCAAATCTAATTTAATACATCGAATAACAGTTTAATTAGACTTTAATTAAATGTAACTTTTGTATTTTGACTCTCTCCAGCAGGTCAGGTAGTATCAGAGCAGCACTTTAGTATAATTGAGTATGGATATGTGTGTACCTAGGACTTTCAATAAATTTGTATATTGTACCTAACGTGATATTTTACATTATGCCTTTACGCTTTGAATGCCAGTCACTTTTCACAAAATAAAAATATTTTTTTCCAATTTTTTTTTTTTTACCAATTTTAAGCAAATCCTTTAACAAAAAAAAGGAATTAAAAAAAAAACAATTTATGGAAAGTACATAATAATTAGTCAATTTGTAGTTCCACCAAAGAATTTTCCGATACCATGTAACATAAAACATCTGTCAATAGACCTAATTTTTCAGAAAAAAAATATGTTTTTAAACTGATTAACTCTGTTAATATGCCAGTAAAATACATATTCAATTAATCTAAATTACAATTGTCCTTTCAATGCGTTCACTTCACAAAATTCATAAATTTGTACTTGTTTCTTTTCTTGCCTTTTTACACGAATAATGAAATTTTCAATCCTTAAAATGTATTTGTTTCGTATTAATCTGGAAATTAATTGAAACACTGAAGTTAACTTATTATTTGCCAGCTTTTTTCACAATTTTGAAGCCATCAAGAAATTGTGTTTATTACAGAAGGAATTTTTCATTATTACAAAATTACTACCTGACTCATAATATTAAACATTATTTGTCTTTTGCGAACTACTGCATTTACAGTCTAGTAGGATTTAGATTTCAATGGAATACAAGAAGACAATTAAGCAGTGCACACAGACATATCAATTATCCTGCCATGACCACAAGACATGGGCCTTTCAAACTGAAACATAACAAACATTCTTCAGTCCATTATGCCTGTATATTGGAGAATCACACTGAGCACATACAGCACAGTTTATATTGTCCATGGTGTTTATTTGAGAAGCTTCTATATTGATATCTGATCCTATGTGACCCCCATGGCGATCAGCATCTCCATAGTGGATGATTGCAAACACAATTGTGTGTGCTTTTTAAAAGCTGCTTTGAAAACTCTCTAAATCCACCTTATGATTGCTCTGAATGAACTTCAACTGATTGGTGTTGCATCTAGCTTAGTGCTGATGTCATTAAAATCTGACTAAAAGATACAGTCAAGTACTAGTAATGAGTCTAGTACAAATCTTTTCAGAACAATCTTCATTATGTCAAAGTGCTATGATTTGAAAGCTTTCTTTCTAAATGGGTTAGGTACTGAAATCGTCAGTGTTATCTACTTGGTGTTGAAATGTGCCGGTATGTAAAGTGTACACAAAAAGATGTCTACATCTACATGTACATGTTCAGTATGTGTGTGCAAAGATTCCAACTGCCATCCCTTCTATTTCATATGGTAAACCGTTAATCTGTTCCAAACTTTTCACCACCAGTTCCCTCTTTTCATCACAAATTGTCCCATTTATAGTCTGCACATTCCCTCAGAAGATTGGGACAAAAATGGCCAAATTATTTGGGTAAAAATGGAAAATTATGTCTGTTGGCCTCAAAATTAAGGTTCATTTCTAGAAATATTGAAAAAATATAAGAAAAAAGTGCAGAAAAATTTGGACAAGAAAATCTGGTGGTTAAAAGGTTAAGACAACATTTGACATTTTATTTTTCTATCATGGTGTACATTTCTGTCGCATACATATTTGTTCAATTTGGATCTCACTTGATACATGGATTATGCTATTAATGTATGGCTTCGGATAACATTTGTTTCATTGCCAGTAATTATAACACTAGACTCGCCCTGCTGTGGCAGCAGATTTTGATTCCTTTACGTACTTTGTGATTGTGCTCATCACAGTACATGTATTTCCACACATGCATGTACATATACATCATATGTTGCATGGGACTCATGCATGGGACTCATGTTGTGTTGTGACTGGCGTTTTAGTACCTAATTAACAATGCATCAGAGCATTTTTTTTATGGAACTGATGTGAACATTTAGAACTACATATGTTTCTCTATTCTAAATGATAGTGAATTTGATACACCAGAAAATACTAGAATGTGCATGTGACCTTTTAGGGTTATGCATAGGACCTATTTTGATCTTGTGT